TATATATATATATATATATAATGTACGGTGAATATCCGAATGTGTACCTATGTATCGTGTATGTTAGCAGGGACGTTATGCTGATTAGATTCGTACACCACGAAAATAGAATCGAATTATTAATCTGCTCTTACACTTCTTATTGGAATATTTTACAGGATTGCTAATTCATATATGCATGTTAAAGCGATCTTTCATGGTATAATGATTATTTCATATGTTTAACATACGTTACGTTGTTGATAGTTGAATCATGTTAGTACCTTAGACATCACCCCGATTAGACTTTTAACTGGATTAATTTCAGTTGGAATAGACTGTAACTTATATTAAGTTGCGATGTATTATAACATAACTTCGCGAACGATTTCTTCGAATTTATTGGATTGTCATAGAGAGACTTAAGTGCTTAAAGACATTATGCTTCAAAGATATTTCTCGAGGATCGAAGTACCATGTATCAATTCTCATCTCCGCAACTCATCCGAAGATGTAAATGATGCTGCCACTGCGGCGACGTAAATCATGCACCAAACTAGATCTTTTGACACGTCTCTAATCGAAATCAGTTTAATGCCATCGTAGGAATCGTACGTGCGTGTAAGAAAAACAAAAATATGTATAAAAAAATGAGCTGTAAGTATTATTGTAATTCCTTTTCTTGGGAAACAGTAAACGAAAAAAAGACAGATAAATTCTTGAGAAGATGAATGTAGGAAGTGCGTAAAAGTTTATATGTAACAACATATCATGAAGCATCGTCGTGCATAGGCTTAGTGTAGCAAACATCATGTGCTTATAATTAAGAACAGTTTCACTTGCACTTACAATCGGTTTTTATTTCACCCATTAGCCGTTATATCTTTTATTATAATCTACCCTTTCAATTCATTTATTAATCTTTATGTTTCTCTAATTAATGACTCTCTCTCTCTCGCTTCCTCTATCAAGATGGTAATTAATAATTCAGAGGGTATAAAATATTTGAACTTTCAACACTGAATACAAATACATGAATATTCCTTTACGCGCGTGCGCGTGCGCGCGCGACTGAATTGATTCCACAAAATTTGTAATAAAGACAAAATGTGTGTGAAGTATCAATGACACAGGGTCTATACAATAGAAATCGTAACGGTCGTAGGATTTTAAGTCGTAGAAAAATAACCAATCACAGTCCAATTTGAGAAGAATAATCGATTATGATTGGTCAATTTTTTACGACTTAAGACCTTACGATCGCTATGATTTCTATTGTAGACTCCGTATCAGTCAATTTTCCATGCTATTTCATTTTAGAATATTTAGTGTAATTTAGCAAAACTTGATTGTCACACTGAGAAAAATATCCGTTCAAAAAGTAACAAACGGATACTTCCGATTGATTTTGATCGGATTTATAAGACTATCCGATCAAATTTTAGGACTATCCGATCAAAATCAATCGGAAATATCCGTTTGTTACTTTTGGAACGGATAAAGCCCGGAAATTTTTCTCAGTGCATCTTTCAAAATTCAATTTTGAGATCCTGAAGATTATTTGCAGCGAGAAATGACTCGAATTGATGCTGAGTCAACATCGATACGATCATGGGCATACGCAGGGGAGAGCAGTTCCCCCCTGTCCTAAATTTTGGCAAAGCCGTATTAGTATTTAAGACATTAATCTAATTATAAAACATTACAGATAGTCTTCAATAATAAGGTCTGTTCTTTTTTTAATTGAAGTTCTTGTATACGATTATTATTAGCTCTACATCTTTTTATTATGTTGGAGATGACGTTAGAAGATTTTAAAAGGAAAGCACATATAGTTTTTCTGATTATTACAATTTAAGTAATTTTGACAATGAAGCCGAACTACGATACATTCTCTGGATTCATTGAAGGAATAAAAAAATTAAAAAAGAAGAACTCAAAGAATTGAAAGCAATTGTAGCTGTTAAAAGAAGCTGAAACTTTCTTCCTAGCAACGAAACATGCTTTGCATATTTCTTTAGCTCAATCGTGCACAACGAGCACCATTGAAACATCATTTAGTACATTGCGAAGGTGTATAAAAAACCTGGTTGCGGTCAGAAAATCGCCTCAATGGACTTTGTATGTTAAGTGTATGTACCAAAAAAAATGGTACTTGCGAAGAAAGAGAAGCTGGAGGAAGAAGTATTAAAAAAGTCACTGAAGAGGCTGTAATATAGGTATGTTTTAATAAATTTTGTGTGTGAAGATAGAGTTTTATTCCCCCCCCCCCCCCCCCACTCTCCCCTAATTGAAATCCTACGTACACTCATGAATACGATGTAATATCGATGATAATTGACGCTCATTTCTCACTGAGTTTTAAATTTTAGATTAATATATTTATGAAATTATTACACATACATATTCACATGATATTTGTGTAATATCTGTCTCTAAATTTTTCTGATATAGTACATAATATTATACTAAAATTTGAATAAATTATGTCAGGTTATATCAGGATTCCTGAAACGGTCGAAATATTCCCATCATTATTGGCGAATGCCTATCATTATCGATAATAATTTAACAATAATTCAATTTCTATAATAACAATACAGCAAAATACAATAATCTTATTGGCTGAATAAAATTCAGATCATCTAAAATCTGTATGAAAAAATAAGAATAACCGAAACTAGAGACAGTTAGAGATCTCTCTCTTATAAAAGTTAGTCTTTAAAAATCACCCCTTTATATTACTGGGTGTATCTAGGCGTTTTATTGCAGTAACGTATCACTACGTAGACGTATGACGCAAATAAAAAAAAGAGACAAGATGATAACCTGCAGAACGTTTATTTTGAAACAGTTGGAATCTTCTTTCACCGAGATAGGACTTTAGATCTAAAGATATAACTCAATGTTTAGAATTGATAAGTAGAAAAAGGCTCTCAAGAAATACTCAAACAATAATGTATAATCAATAAGATTTTTTTGTTCGGACCGACAAGATAAAATCCGGAAAAATTTCGACGCGCAGTTTGAATAACTACATATATATGCATGTACATATATAGGATATAGATAATTCACTGGGAATTATTTAGGCAAAAAAGATCTAGCTTTGACCGTCATAGCTGAATACGCTTATACTTAGTGTTTAATAATGTATAATGCCTATCAGAGCCGACACAGGATGAAAGCGTGCAATAAAAATTTTTTACAGAAATTATATAAAAAATTATAATGTAAACGTTTCGACCCTTGTTTTGGGTCCTCTTCAATGTTTAGATCTAAAAATAT